GATTTGGCCCAATACACTTCGAATATTCGAATTTCAGGCTGAATTCTATCCATCTGCCCACACCTCATCCACCGATGGCATTTTGTAAATCTCATGCTAAACTCCGCCCATTTCTTTGCAGGTCTCACCTATATTTTTCTTACTCGCCAACCTCTCCACCTTTTACCTTTTGGTGTGTCCTCCGCACACCATTAGAAATTACCTCCTTCCCTTCGCCTACTTCTCTTCCGGTCTCCAGGGCTACCTGGAACCGAGTTACGGGTTTTCGTCGTGTACTCCGCCCAGTTTGGTCGTGCCCCGCCCACCAATAGCAAATGGGCTCCACTCCTTCACCCACCTCTATCCACCTTTTTCCCGGTCTCCGGGACTTCTTGAAACCGAGTTATGAATTTCCCTCGCAAACTCCGCCCACTTTGGGATGCCCTACCCACATTAGCCGTTGGGCTGAACTCCTTCACCCACCTCTATCCACCTTTTTCCGACTCACTAAGACTTCTCCGGCCCGAATTAATTTTTCATAAAGCTCTGCTTTTTTGGAGAACGCCCCGCCCACCGGGGAGGGTCTCTCTAACGCCGTGAATTACCTATGCACACCTTCACTCACGTTTGGACCCAGTTTCGAAATTGTTATGTCACTGAAATTGAAATATTGGTGTCGGTGCAGTTCATTTCGATGCACGCCACGCCCACCGTGGGCGGGGCTCCGCATAGCTGATGTGTGTTTTGTACTTCATGAGACTTTGCCCACCCGTCCCACGCTTGACCCGGTCTCTCTAGGCGGATCCCGAGGAGCTAGGGAATTTCGTGACAGGCATACAGAACAACAAACGGCAGACGAAGCTCTTTATAGTTTGTAAGACCAGGCGGATCTTGAAGAGCTAGGGAATTTCGTGACAGACATACAGAACGGCAGACGACAGACAGACAACAGACGAAGCGCTTTATAGTGTGTAAAATATTATATATGGAAGTAGATCGCCTTTAACGTTTTTGGAAATGTGTACAATTTGAAATGAAAAACGTTCTCAGTGGCTTGAAAAGTGTCGCAAATACATGGAAAGTGTCCGGGTTGATTTAGAAAACGTCCTTGATTAAATGAAAAACCGTGTTGAAATGAAGAATGTTCGGAATCACTTGGAAAAAGGATTCATGGCTTGCTACCTAGTTTATTGAATTTAGCATGCACTGAAACCATAGTCTACTCATTTCAGAAAGCAATATGATTCAGAACACTTATAAGAAAGTTCGCAAATGCCCCCTATTTCAAAAGTTTGGAGGCATACTGGATAAATGTTAACAGTGGAGGTCTCTCCTGTCACTTCATCTGAGATTCTGTGGGCATATTTTGAAACTCTTCGCTACTTTGGCAGATCTCGACGATTCAAGGTTTACACCTTGAGAAACTTTGCTCAGAGATCAGTTGCCATAGCTGCTCCACGTCTCATCTCCTGGGTGTGTGTACAATATCCATAGAAAACCCAAATTTTTATGGAAATAGCAGAATCTTGGGAATACAATTTCTGTCATTCGAATACGAAGTGCATCATATTTGACGGTCCCATTCTTTTTCTGCCACGCCCATCAATTAGATTCATCGTAACTTTTGCTTTCCACATCGAAAGTTACAATTTGAAGTACTGCAAGAATTGTGCGAGAGTCCACGATGAAGGCCCCTCAATTGGAAAAGCATCGGGTAGCTTGTCTTGAATTAGCTCGAAGGAACATGGGAACGTTCGGAATACCACAGGTAGTGCTGCGGAATGGATATGCACTTCCGTTTCGGGGTAAACGGTGACGTGCGCCTCAGGGTGGCGCACGATTACTTCTTTTGTTTTTGTAATATTTCTAATAAACTTAATATACCCGTGCATACCCTCAGCAATGAGAATTAATATATACTGCCAGGATCTGGATGGCTATTTTTCAAAAGTCTCACAATAAATTTCACATACACTTTGTATTCATTTTCCACATTTTTCTATTTGATGAATGGTGTACCCATGGTCCACTTTTCCCGTGACACTGTCTTGAAAACATCCTTTTTCCTCGCTTCGAGTTGATGTTTCGCGCTGTTCGTAGATGTCACCTGCAGCTTCCATCCATTCCTTGCACCATAGATTCAGGACGGAAAAGCGGATTATGCAGTTGTCATCAACGGAAATCTTTTCTAAAGAACAGACACGAGAACATGCCTTAACCCCTTTCCAACCGCGCTATTCGCATGAGCCTACACAATTTCCACCCTATATGACGCGCGAAAAGCTCAGCCATCCGTTATGTGTCAAGGTGACAGAGCTCTTTTGAGTTGGCGTTAATTGTTTCGTCAGGAATAAGGCCGAAGAACACCATAGGATATAGGGACTGATATAGGGATTCCAGAAGGCCACTGGTCATCAGCTGGAAGGGCAGATTCTAAAGGAACTGGGCTGCATTGGTAGCAGTGCTACACCGTCTCTGGCTGTTGTACCGGGTGGAACGGGCTCCTGCTATCTTGCTGCTATTTGCTGTCGTCCCTAAGTGAGGATCGCCTGGGAATTTTTTTTGCGGCAACGCTGCCATCCACTGCAGCATCCGCTATATAATGATTTATTGTCAATGGAATCAATGTTATGGGTTGGACCGGAAGCGTCTCTGATCCAATTCCTCTAAAAAATATCCTAATGATCATTGTGAGGCGTTTCCATGCTGTTGGCAAGCAGCAATTGCTGTTGAAGGCCCCCATCTGCATCGAAATTGTTAAAGCACATTGAAGAGGTAGCAGTGCTTCCACTAGGCATGCCCACAGAATCTCAAATAAGTGGAAGGAAGAAGAATTTTTGCTCTTAAAATCCTCTCGCCCAGGGTGCCTCCATACTTTGAACAAGGGGACATTTCCAAACGCTTCTATAAAAATGGTTCTGAGCCACTTTGCTTTCTGAAAGGATGTGAACTGTGCATTTACCACGGTACCTCACTTTTCAGTGGTGCTTCTATACTTTTCAAACGCAATGTATTCATTTGGATATTGAAGACAGCTCACGTTTCATACTTTTGGACATTAGGGGTAGCGCGATTTTGCGACTGGAAACATCGAGAGGAATTCCCACATGCGGAAAAAAATTTCAAACTGGGGCGACAGCTGAGGATCTCGAATTGATGACATCGTAAACGCAACAACTCGGATCCAAATTGCTGAAGTCACAGCGGTCGGTATCGGACTGTGGATGCCAAGTTGACTAGGATCTCGAATTGATGACATCGTAAACACAAAACATCTCGGATCAAAATTGCGGAAGTCACAGCGGTCGGTATCGGAGCTGTGGATGCCAGTTGACTAAAATAAAGAAAGAAGCAACGCAACTGGCGTTAAAGTTCTGAACAAGGATTTCCCTTAAAATAACGAATGGGCGGAGCCTGAGGAGTTCTGTGAACCTGACTGCTTCACGGCTATTAACCCGCGCCTTTGAATCAGCCACTTCGTGTGTCTTGGGGTGTGCACTACATAATTCGTTCAAATGCTAAGATGAGTCGCCAAAAGCTGACTCTGTAAGACACTTGCGCCATAGTAGCGCACTTTCGAGCAACGACAACAGCACATCTGTGATATTCTTGTTCTAAGTTATCCCACCAGCTGAATCGAATCTTCAACAGGGCTTCTTCTGTAGGTGTTGCTGGAAACGTCAATGGAGGAAGGACGTTAAGCGGCGGTCCCATCCACACCCCGGCTTGAAGGGTCAAGTCCCTAGTTACGCTCAGTGACGCACCAGCTGAATCGAATCTTCAAGTGGGCTTCTTCTGTAGGTGTTGCTGAAACCGTAAAGGGAGGAAGGACGTAAAGCGGCGGTCCCACCCACACCGCGGGTTAAGGGGTCAAATCCCTAGTTACACTCAGCGAGGTCATCGAAACCGCACCACCCTAAGGCCGTCGCGATCACTTTCTTCGAGGGGTTTTTAATTTTCGTTAACATGTGTGGCTCGGTATTGACAATTAGACTTCTGAAAGCTACTTTTCCATATGCTGATTTTGTAAACCCGAATGTATCTGATAGATCCATGTTTAGTTCATATGAGAACCAATAACTCGCATTCTGTTGGGACAAAACTTGATGAGTATGATGATTCCAACACCAACAATGTTACCTATGTAGCCGCTGGAACAGCTCCGGTTTCAACGTTAGTTCTCGTTTTTTTTTTGTAATTTGATGTCCGCTTTGTGTACATGTTTGGATAACACACTGACGACAGCGCACGTTAGGCCGATGTCATAGTTTGCGAATCCTGCGATTCGCTAGCGAATCGACCGATGCTGTGGCGGGAATCAACGTTCAAAGGAAGTCCTGCCACTTTCAAACAGCGTCACTTGACAGTGGAGCTGTTTGAAAGTGGCCGGTCCTTTGAACGCTGGGTCCCGCCACTATTGTCGCTGGTACATAGTTCGACTCGCTGATACATCGTTTGACTCACTGGTGCATCGGTCGGATCCAGCAATTCGCTCAAGATTGCTTCGCATCTCAGTTGGAGGCAAGCTTAAAGGCATGCCCCAGATCACATTGGTGTGGCTTTTGTACACGAATGCGAACGTATTGGTGAGAAGTGGGCCGGCAGTAAAGAAAGAAGGAAAAGAATCCGTCAAAAACGCTTAGGTTGAGGGCTCACTCACCTTCCTGATGGGCTGTGCTAAGGGAATGAGAGGCTAAGCGCGGATAGGAGAGTATGAGATGAGAGAGCGCTGCAGATGAGAGATCGCCAAACAACAGTCTGATAAGAGAAAAAAGTCTGCAGCTTGGGCAGCTTACTTTACTTTTACTACTTACTTGTCGATTGATATCCGGTCTCTGCCTAGGTTGTGCCTTTGATGAGGTGCGAAGAATGTGTCTCTCGTCCCTATTATCTCCCTCCCCAAGAAAATACATGTAAATAAATGGGCGACAAGGGTGACGTGCAACCACTCAATGGCCGACGTAATTTGCAAAGTGAGACCCATAGCTGCGTTTCATTGCCGTCAATGAATTAAGGAATGTATGCCGCATGTGGTATTGTTTACTACTCGACTGTTCAGTTTCCGTGGAAGTTCGAGCGGTGCCAGTACATGTGCACACTCAACAGCAGTACCGATAGCCACCTATGCAGCTCCAATAATACAACAAGGACCGGCTGGTCACACAGTGTCCACCTACCAGACGGCTCTCAATCTTCCTATTGATCAATATGATCTGCACCATTTCGACCCAGGGGTGCCACTACTTAACAGGTTTGAGTTTTCCTTTGCTAGGTGCAATCTTGAGAGTTCCTAGTGTTCGTTCAGAGGAGGATTCAATCTGAAGGAATCCTCCATCTGTCATCTTTGAACAGAAGCACCTTGAACAGAGTTTTCAAATAATATGTCATTCCTGGCTTTTCCGTTCGTTAAATTGGTGGGTTTGGCTGTGCAAAAATCCACTAGTAGGGTTAAAATCGAATGGTTCCACGATTATGTTTGAGATTTTCAGTGGAGCCGATGATCTTTCTTCGTCGTCCAGTCAGTTAATGTTCAACCGAAAAGGTATGGTTCTACGAAGAAATATTCACTATTTAATCAGGGAAAATATGGTACAAAAACAATTATATTCTATTAACTGGAGAACCGAATTTTTATGATGTTAGAGGAGAGTCCTCGAGCACTGAGTTTTGAAAATATCAAGGCAAAATAAGGACGGCTGCACGGAATTAAAGTAGGGGTCGTCGGAGTGGTGGCAGCGTCAAGTTCCTAGATTTCTCCATAGTATGCTGGGAATCTGTATTGAGTGGTGTTCGCCACTTTCATGTAATGTCATTTTTTCTCATATAAAGGAACATTTAATTTCATACTGGTGCTGACCCCCCTGATCACATTTCAACAGTTCTTTTCGCTTTTCAGTTGTTGATTATATTATAGATGATGGCAGGCAGGAATATTCTCGGCATACATAACCTTAATCCTGTAATTTGTGTAATTTTCTGTAAATTTGGCTCTTTTTTCAAAAAAAAAATCTTTATGTCTAAATAGCTCCACTTTTGGAAGGAAAAATCATCATATTAATGCTCGAAACTTCTTTTTTGAAGTGGTCTAAATGATACCGTTTCCGTTTGAATATAGTCTCTTTTGGAGTTTCGTCTTTCAGTGGCCGATTTACAAACGTATGCCGCCAGGCAGGCTCATTCTCAGCATCCATCTGCTTATTTCTGTCATCAAATGGAAAATGAACGGTTAGTTGTCTTGCGTTAGATTCAGTCTTTTACAGATAGATTGAGTAGACCCCGAAAGTCGTCGCCGCGTATTTATAGTGCTCTCTTGGTATCGATTGCGCGCAACGATCGTTTAAGTTTTCCTAGGGTTGTTTTTCGATTTCATACCCGATTTTTTTATTGTGTTAATATTGTGTTTGCGAATCGGTACCCGTTTATTTCAGTGCTGCAGTTGCGTTATTAAATATGATCTCAGCTTATCAGCAGCAGTGTGTTTCACAGCGACAAGCTGGTATGCTGATCTTTATATTGTTGATTTCTTTTCCTTCATAATTGTTTCCTTCAATGCGTCTGTTTGGTTGTGAGGTTTTAATAACTTGGAGTGCCACCCATGTCTCGGTTTAGTGGCCCACCTGACAGCGGCACGTAGGACTAAAGCTGGCTGACTCGTCCTACCGTAGCACTTTTGCTTTGTTAGTCGTGCTCATGATAGCGTATAATCTAATTATTACATGTTAGGCGCAGTGTATATTGGGAAAAGATGAAAAGCAAAATGAAAACAGCAAAAAAACAGCTCCATTTTTCTTCGAATTTGACGAGTTTCTCGTCTGTACTCCAGGCCTTTCTGCCAAGGGTTTCCTTATTCTCTCATCGCATCGATGACGCACAGGACATGAAACTGAATTTGTTCGTCGGATGAACTTGTGGCGTGCTACTCAAAGCGCTTGGCTCACTTGGAGCACGATGCCTCGGATCGCTCCTCTGCTAGAAGACGAAGTCAGTATGGTGCCGGTGCCATGTGTGATAAATGACATTTTCAGTATTCCTGCATAGGTAATCAGAGGTTTTTCGGACCTTGCAGAAATATCCGTTCAGTTTATTCCTTATTTTCTTTTAATTAACGTGAACAGCTAGATAGGAAAAGGTAACAGAAGTGAATACAACTCACTCTTGGGGCAGGATATATCCTACTTACTATAAAGCGCTTCGTCTGTCGTGTGTAGTGTGTCGTGTGTCGTGTGTCGTTCTGTATGTCTGTCACGATATTCCCTAGCTCCTCCCGATCCGCCTGGAGGGACAGGGTCAAGTGTGGGACGGGTGAGCAAGGTCCAACGAAGTACAAAACACACATCAGCTAAGCGGAGCCCCGCCCACAGTGGGCGTGGCGTGCGTCGACATGAGGTGTACTGACGACCGAGATTCTAAGATCTCTTAGAAAAGGACCTCGAAACTGGGCCAAAAAGTGGGTATAAGTGTGCATTGGTGAGTCACATCGAATTACTGAGACCCACCTCCGGTGGGCGAGGCGTTCTCCAAAAAAGCAGTGCTTTATGAAAAAATTCATAACTCGGCTGGGAGAAAGCCTACAGCGCAGAAACCAAATTGGTGTAGGGGAGCAATGTCTTAGGTGTTCCCAGCATCCATGACGTGGACGAAGGTCCGCCCACAATGGGCGGAGCGCGCTCTGAAGTGTACAGCGTTTTCTACAAGTCCTCATAATTCGGGTCGGAGAAGTCCTAGCGAGCTGGAAAATGGTGGATGGAGCTTTGTGGAGTAGTAGAGGCCAGCTGCCGTCGGTGGAGGGCTTGACCAAAGTGGGCGGAGTTTGCGAAGAAAATTCACAACTCGGCTCCGAAAAGGCCCCGAGGCCGGGAAAAAGGTAGATGGAGGTGGGTGGAGTAGTGGAGGCCAGCTGTCATCGGCGGGCGGGGCTCGACTAAAGTGGGCGGAGTTTGCGACAAAAATTCATAACTCGGCTTCAAAATGTCCCGGAGGCTGGGATAAAGGGTGTAGCGGTCTGCAAAAGGAAGGGGGCCAAATGCTACCCGTGGGGGGCACGCACCGAAGTAGGGGGAGTTTGCCACGACATTTATTGTCCAGAAGCAGTCCGGAGATCGGGAAAAATATAGTGGTTGACGAAGAAAAAGGTTGAAAGCCGTCGATGATGGAGCTGATATTTAGCTGAGAAGTCAGATATTCGTGGTGTATCAGGCCATATTTGAAAATTTTCGTTGCACCATCAAAAACTCGCCGCAGATCTGTGTTGCGCGCGCACGCGGCGCCAACTGGTGTTTACATAAAACAACTACCTCAAAATATCATAATTTTGGAATCACTAAAGCGGGAGCGTAAAATTTGCCTTTTCTGACCATAACGCGTTGTTTTGGTCGAACTTTCATAACTGCAATCCGATATGTTGAATGCGTTGAACGTTAATGGAAACATACTGTCGAATACAAATTTCGCGTATAAGGCTCAAAATCCACATTTATGCGGCGATGCCACGGCGCCTGCAAAGTCGCGCCGGTCCCACGCGTCCAAAAAAGCCAAAACGCGCGATGTCGTCGAAGTGTAAAGAAATGTGGCCTCAATAGACAGTGAATTTTTTTCCTGATTGCATGAACAGGTCCATTTAGTTTTCAACAACGGTGGGGTGTATCAACAACGAAATGGGCTTGCTCTCTGGTACTTGTCATGCGGTCGATTTTTGTGTGGAATTGTAACATTTTACAGTTGTTTGATGATCCACTTGGGATTTAGTCTTACCAGATTGGTCCCCCGGCAAGCGCCGGAACCTCCCTACCTTGCGTAAGCTTTCCCTTCTCCCTCCTCTCCTTAAGCTGCTTTCATAGTCTGCGGTCCGTGCGGTCCGTGCCGTGCGCGTCGTCCGTGCGGACCGCTCGGACAGGGTGAAAAACGTCAACATGCGCTCTGGCGCACAATTGCGTACTTAGCACGCAGTCGGCGCCTCCCTCGATCGATAACTCGATTTCGGTGCATTTTTTAATGTTTGTGAATATGTGATGCGATATTGATGAGAAATCACTCATTTAACTTACCCTGCGGCACGCGCAGACGTTATCAGCGAAAAAGCGACTTCTAGAAAGATAGTTCATTTAAACAATCAGCAAAGCGCACTGATTAACTTACCGACTTACCGAAACATATCGACTAAGGCAAGAATGAAGAAGTCTCAACTAAAAAAACATGAATGAACGCACCACATATTCACAAACATTGAAAAATGCACGAAATGCACCGAAATCGAGATATCGATCGAGGGAGGCGCCGACTGCGTGCTAAGCACGCAATTGTGCATGTTGACGTTTTTCACCCTGTCCGAGCGGTCCGCACGGACGGCGCGGACCGCACGGAACGCACGGACCGCGGACTATGGAAGCATCCTTACTCACCCCTCGTCTTCCTCTGCTCGCCGGCTACCACAGCATCACCTTAAGGAATGACCGAAATTGTGCTAAGTGCGTGTTTATATAGCGTTCTGGGTTATCACAATCATGCTTGTGCAAAACATTGATAGCGCAATCCTGCGAGCTACCCAGATATGTTGGCGGCTTGTTTATTCCGTTAGCTGCCTTATCACTCACTCACTTCATTTTGCGTACGGACACACATACATACACACACATACAGACATACAAACCGACACACAAAGTTAGCGCTTTATAAAATAGAAGGATTGCTCATTCAGTCAAATGCTTTTATCATCACTTTTCAACAGGAGTAGGTCATTGAAAGAGGTTTAACTGTCAACATGTAAACCCTTTGGCAAATGGCACCCACCTGTGGGTGCCCCATGGATAACCGTCACGTGGGGCCAACTCGAAAATTTTGCGACCCCTTCCTTCTACCGAGTCTCGATAGGCCCCCCCCCCAAATACTTATTAGGTACTGCACACTTGGTATTTTTGTGTATGCGTATATTTCGTGCTACTACTTCGAGAGTTACAACAGATTGAGTGCGGTAGCGCCATGTTTGCACTGGCGCACACAATCTTTCCCTCAGCCCAGCGCAGATAGAACGAGGCGGACTACCAATTTTCAAATGAGTGTAAATCTGTTCAACTTCAATATTTTCCGAAGCGCCGAGTAGATTTGTAATCTGCGATACTGCTGGCTCCAGAAAACTACCATATTTATGTTATGATGTAGGGAATTAAGAATTCACAGAAATGCGTACCTCTTCATTTGAAAGGTTGCAAATGTCGTCAAATAAGGAAGTGTGAGAATGGTAGTAAAATTTTGAAACCCTAGAATGTTTTCTTTCTAAAAAGTACCACTTCTAAAAGTTGCATTTCTTTGAAAAATCGCCCCGTTGGACCGCTTTGTGCACAAGGAGTTTTTTGGCTTTCAATGACTATAACTTTCTTTAGATTCAATATTTCGCAGTTCTTGTCCTCCTGGAATAAACAAGAAGGTTAAGGCTCTTGAGGGAGGTTTGAACTCTTTCCAAAATTGATGAAATCAAAAATTGCCCCATTGGACCATTCTGGAGAATTCGCGGACCTATTTTTGGCAGAGCGCTGGTTTTTTGACTTCGAACTGTTATAACTTTCTTCAGATTGAGCTTTTTGCAATTCTTTCCCCCGAAGAAACAGGAAAGTTGAAGTTTTCTTGTGAATACTTGCTCTCATTTCCAAAATGATCTCTTCAAAAAATCGTTTCGTTAGACCGTCTTTTTTTCAGGAATTTATTAAGGTACTCTCCTGGAAACTTGAGTTTTTAACACTCAAACACTCACAGCTCTCTTCAAACTCGAATTTATGAGGAATTATGATACTATGGCAGCACACAAGCTTCCTGCTCCATAACAGATATTAAGCCTTTTTCAGGAAGTCACCGACAGACAATTTTTCCAGTCACTCTTTTACTCACTTAGGTCCAGTTTGAAGAAATTCGCTCTCCTCGAGAGCATATTTGTGTACGTGAACACTCAAGTATGGGCA